AAAGTGAGTTAACAACAAGGTGGAAGAGAAAGTAAATCCCCCTGAAGTGATGCTATCAACACCCTGTAGGCTACAGAGATGACGAGGACAGTGATCTTTAAGTACACATAAAAAAAACAAGAAAAAACTCCACTGACTGTAAATAACACCTCTGTGTCTTCAGTGAACTTCCCCAAAACCACCACACAGTTAAAGAAGTGCTCCGTTTAACAAGTGAAGGTCATTCTGCTAAAACAGTCGTGTAACGGGGAATTCTGCACCAGCGGTTCAGTAATGTTCAGATATTCTTATTCTGTTCTGATCCAGCTGGACTCAGGTGTAAAAACCCCCAAAGTGAGCAGACGGTGCAGGAGTTCCTAAATCACTGACTCACGTCCCAGGGCTGCATGGGAGGCCACTGAACTCTCCTTTTAGACAGAGGGACCCAGTAGAAGGAGGAAGACGAGGACGAAGGACCAGCAGGGGTCCATCTCTGCTGACGTTGTTGACATGAAAATAAAACCTCATGCTAACTGCTCCACATTACAGGAAACCCAATCCACAGAAAATAATGTGAATAAACACGTTGAATGAAACGAAAAAGTGTTGAATCAATCCTGACAGTGACTGACCCAGTGTCTCTCTGTTTATATATAAAGACCTTCTGGATCTTTGGCTGCACAGGAAATAAAATCCCCCCAAAAAAGGAGCCTAAAACAAAAAGAAACTTCTAAAGGAAAATATATATGTAACTGTCCAGATACACAATATTAAAGTCCAATTAGGACAAAACAGCTAATTAAAAAATGACAAAACAAATATGGAGCGAGATCCAATAAGATTTATGATGTAAACGTTAAGTTATCTGATTTTCAGACACTGCAGCAGCTTCTCTGTATTTGGCAAAAGACAAGTTCTATAAAAAGCTGAGTTTGTTCTTCTGCAGATCTGGTTCTGGTTCTTCTGCCTCATAAACAACCAGTCTGTGGTGCATTTTTTAAAGAAATATCTGCACTTCTTTGTGATTTCTGCTAATTTGGTTTAAAAACAGTCTATCATGCTCGAGTAAATGAAACCCCGGCTAACAACTGGTTAGAAAACTGAACCTTTACTCCTAATTCTTATCATTTAGTGGATTTTCCGTCTTGAGGACCCTGTACTTCCTCCCCATTATAATAAACCACAACCCAAACCCACCTGAGCCAGCGAGGAGTCGGAGCTGCTCCTCTTCAGCCAGGCGTTCTCGCTGATCGGCTGGAAGGGCAGCTGGCTCAGCTCCTGCTCCCGCTCCTGGACAACCGGGTCACATTTCAGACGCATATCCCACATGTAAATCCATTTACTCTGACATTTGAGTACATATGTTTATTCTTAAGGTACTGTAGCTGGTAAAAGCTTCGATAATAAAAGATTCAGACGACACCGTGGAGACCTGATGTGTCGGAGGAACGATCGGCTGTAGGTGTGCAAAATATGGATTTCTATAGTTTCATTTTTATCTATTTTTAGGTGCAATATTTAATTTTTATCTCATTTTTAGGTGCAATATTTCATTTTCATCAAACATTTAGGTGCAATATTTCATTTTACCATTTTTTTTTAGGTGCAACGTTTCATTTTTATCCAATTTTTGATGCAATATTTCATTTTTATCCAATTTTTAGGAGCAATATTTAATTTTTTATATAATTTTTAGTTGGAATATTTCATTTTTATCAATATTAAGGTGCAACATTTAATTTTTAACAATAATACAACAATAATAATAACTTCATTTATATGGTATTTCTCAACAGACAGGGGGAAAAAAGAAAGCACTGATGATGAACCCTGATCAAACCAACCTGGCGAATGCGGGACGTCTGCTTGGAGCTCGGCGTCGTGGTTCCCTGGAGCTTCTGCTGAATTTCAGACACAAAGTCGGAGCGGGTCCGCAGACAGGTGTTGGCGGGGCTCAGGCTGGGGGCGGGGCTAGTCGGGAGGAGGGGCTTAAAGCGCTCCATCCGCTGACTGAACTCTCCCTCACCTGGAGGAAGAAAAACGGTCGTTCAGGTGTGTTTTCATTAATAGTTAAAGATAATGATAGTACGTGGCTGTAGGAGCCTCCTCCTGTTTTACTGCCTGAACTAATATTAGTCGTGTCCCTGCTACAGAGATGAAGCAGTGATTCTACGGTACACTGATGAACTGGTTCTGAAACAACACAATCATATGAACATTTCTCACCTCGTCGTGTGTTGTTTTAGGTGAAAACTCAGCAGCTAAGTGAAGCAAATCCTCCACCTGGAAGCTCTGTTTATGTGTAGCTGTGCTGACTGCAGCCTGTGCATGTGTGATATATGTCTAGAGTTCAACACAAACACTCGCTGTTCGTACCGAGGAGATGCTCTCTGAAGCCCTTGCTGTGGATGCTGACTGACGGCCCGTCGCTGCCCGGATCAGAGAGGCATCGCTGGGTCGGAGGAGCTCCTCCTGACAGGAAACAAACACTTTCTCCTGTAAACTGCAGCGTTGCTCCGACACCAACACTGTCTGGCTCCACAGATTGCTCAACACCGTGACAGCAGCTCTTATCTCGCTGATAGATAATCCAGCTTGACTTTTGATCTACGATGACACATGCAGCCAAATCCAGAGCGACGCTATTTTCAAATATGAGTCGATTTTGTGCGTTTACAACGTAGCTGAAGCCAGTGCAATAAACCCTGAAGGTTTGGGGTTTCAACCACCTGCTGAACTGTGTCGTGTTACAGCGAGCAGAGCTTCTGACACTTAATCTAATCCCACTGATTAAGAACTGGGTGGACACAATATGAGCAGGCACATTTCAACTGTAAGAACAATAATTCACAGTCACCTTCTCTTCTCTGGGTGAGCTGCTGGACTCGAGACCGGACTGACATAACTATCGGCGTGTCCGGTTTTGCCTCCAGCTCGGCCAGGCGTCCAGAGGAAGACGGTTTAGGACTGCGGTTCTCCAAACCGGACGCTTCCAGACGCCGCCGCTTCTGGCCATCATTCGCCTCTGAAACGTCAGAAGGAAGACACAAGGCACGAACGTAAATCACTGCAAAGAGCGCCGTCGATGTGTGCACAGTGTGTTCTTATGAAGACAAACAAACCGGGTGCTGAGAAGATGTTCTCCTCAGTATCTGACAGGGGTTCTCTCTGTCTCTTCATGCTGGCGTTGCCACCGTTTTCCTCGCCAGCTTCCATGCTGAGCTGCAAACAGAGACATCACACACTGAACACGTATTTAAAAAGCTCTCACACACCTCAAAGAAAAACAGCACACGTACAAAAACAGTCACGGTGGTTAAGAGCAACTGCTCCCTTTGTCCGTACCACAGATCCTGCAAAAGGTTTTTCTGAGGGAAATAAATAAATGTTTTGTTTTTTTTTTTTTTGCTCATTTTAGTGTTTTGCAGCTTCTCTTTTATTTTTTATTTTTTTACCTCCACCGGGATTTGAGCAGTTTTCATGTGACTGCTCGATGCCATTTATGGCTATTTTCATTTCCAGTTAATCTGCTGATTATTTTCTGTTGTTTTCTGTATAAAGAGTCAGAAAATTAACCTGAAACCAAAATGAGCATGTTCAAAGAGAAAATAAGTAAGAAAATATTTACTAATACTTATTTAATTAGGCTTTTATCCCCCTTAAAATGACGGAAACTGATTAATCAATAAAAATAAATAAAAAGCTGTCAATTAATTTAACAGCTGACAAGTATTTAATGAATCCTTCCAGCTCTGTTGTGATTTATTTGGTGAATCCTTGCTGATTGTTTTTAGCTTTCCTGACACTCAGGCAGGTCAGTTTGTACAATGCATGTTATTGTAGGGTCTTAACGTAAATATCTAAATTTGTTTGGCACGTTTATAATCTTATTTATCTACAGGAGACAGCTTTTGATCAGCATCTGTTGTTTAAAATGTAGATTACGGTTTGAATTGACAAAACAGGTAGCTAAGCTCAGCTGCATTAACTTGGTTGAATAAATCACAATTCACAATCCTTTCTTTATTTTCTCTCAAGTGTAATTCAAATTTGCCACAAGAACTCAGACAGAACCCAGAAGGAGCATTTAGGAGCACATTAAAATCACTGCACAAGTAAAATGCCATTAGAACAAACACCTGATGCTAGCTAGCTAAAGTTCTGTCCAGAAACTGGAGTTAGATTTATTAAAAAATGAAAGTTTTTAACAATATTATACAATAAATAAAACGTGACAACGCCCACTGCAAGAGCCTCCAGGTAGCTTCACTCAGCCACAGTTAGCTGCTTGTGCTAGCCAGTTAGCCAAACACACTTTTTGTTTGCACAGCAACGATTTAGTGGTTAAATGTAATAAATGTTCTCTTTCCTGAACATTGCCAAGCTGTCATTTGACAACCGTGTACGCGTTAACGACACGGTCCTTTAAGTTAGCCAGCTAGCTCTCTCCAAGCTAACTCACCTAACGTTCGCCGACTTATCGCTAGCCTAGCTTAAAGTTAGCGCTACGAGCTAACGTTGGCGGCAGCAAACCGCCGCGTCAGCTGCGGTTTCTTACCTGAGAAGGTGTCTGGGCTGTAGAAACAGGTCAACTGACACGAAACAAGCAACAAGCGTCCCGTTGTTTCGGTCTCCTCCTCCTCCAACTTTGAATTTCAGCGGGTCTTCTGACGTTAAACGGAACCACCGGAAATATCCCGGAAGAGCAGCCCGGTTACCGTAATCCTCCGCTGACACGCGCACTGCAGGGTGTTAAAATCGGATCCCGGATTTACCGTAAAACACAGAGTAGCCACACAATAGATTTAGACTTAGACTGACTTTATTAATCCCAGAAGGAAATTCTGTTGTTTCAGCAGCAACATTCAACAAGGGGTAAACAAGCAAACAGACAGCACAGAATATTAGGGTATAAAATGAAGGTTACATCAAGTAAAATAAAAAAGGATAAAAATAAAGAAAATATAATATAGAAAAGTCAACAAATTTACAAGAATATATGAGATAACAGCATAACATATGCAAATGTGCTCACAATAAAGCATACAAATATCCACAGAGATGTGAATCTGGACCTTGAGTTTAGCAGATGTTTATGCTGGAGGACTGAATATGATCCACAGGCTGTCTGTCTGTAAGCATTTTCTTTATTTACCAGTACATGCCTGCAACAGGTGGAAGGACCCTAAAACGAATTAATACCATCTGAATTTCATGTTGAATGTCCAGGTCAAGGTCATTTCTATCGTACATGAGGGGCAAACAGCTAGGCTGAACTCTAAAACCAAAAAAAAAAGTGATGATAAGATCAAGATGATAAAATAATAAAATCATCATCAGCCATGAACAAAAAAATGTGACAATAGAAGGAAATAAATCTGAATAGATTGAAATAACTAAATAACCATCAGTAATTGAGAAAAGAGAACATAAATTAAAATAAAATACATAAAAAAATACAATTATCATCAGTCATAGACAAGAAATGACAATAAAATAAAATAAAAGAGTTTAAAACAATAAAATAAAACAGAGACTTTATAGCAGAAAGAAAATCAATAATGCACCCAGATGTTTAAATGCAATCTGTTTGCCTCCGACCCACTGAGACCCGCTGCTGGACTGCAGGCAGAATGACCACAACTAACGTTAATAAACAAATTAAACACATTTTTTGGTCACTAATTAAAAGTTACCTGGACGTCCTGTTGACATAAAGGCAAAACATAATGATTTGAATCTGTAGATGTGTAGATTTGAACAAACCAGTTACATTCGTTTGGATTTGTAGCTCAGTCGCTGCGTTCTGTCATATCACCAGTTTAACTGCAAGTCATGCTTCCAGCTTGCTGATTAAAACTGATGCAGATGCTCGACAGACGTGTAAATAGGTTGCGGCTGTGCTTCTAAAAGCAGCTGAGATAAGATCTTGTGAACGTCGTCTCCATCAACTCATTCTGCACCGGGTAGTTTTGCATAAAGAGGAACTGAGTCATGGTGAGCAGAAGAGTGTAATTCACCCTGGAGGAGGCAGAAACCTGTGACTTCTGTTTGTATTTATAACTCTCAACCTTCAGATTAGAGACATTTTTAACCAACGAAACCATCACCTTTGACTTTTAATGCCAGAACAACACCGAGTGCATGTTGTCACAACTTCTCATCATCACACATGATCACACACCGGCGAAATATACAGCAACAGACGGGCTGGAAAGTCACTTTTACAGGATTTAAAATGCTTTAAAATGGAATGAAAACTGCTGAGGACTTGAGGAGAACGAGATGACCTAATAATAAATATATATAGAAGTATGTTTCTTGAGCAAACAAGCTTTTAAAGTGAAAAACAGGACAGAGACAGTTTTATCTGTCAATAAATCCAGATTCCGTGCTGACAGAACACAGTCAGTAACTTCAAGCTGCATTTAAAAATCCACTTTAAACACTCAGTAAACCAGCAAAACTGAACCTCCAGCGCCTGCAGGGGCCGACTAAACAGTGTTAGTGTTCGTTTAATTTTGCCCACTTAATTTGAATATTTGCTTTTTTATTAGAAATTAGACTTGATTAATTTCACTTTTCAGTGTAATCAACACAGAGAAAAGCTGTCAGGCCCAAATCATCAGCAGGACATCTGACAGTTATCCTCTTTCTAGTGAACATCAAATGTACTTAAATAAAGGTTTTAAAATCAACTAGAGCTGATCAAAGTGTCCCCGTTATAGGACAGGCAGCAAAAACAGAAAACAGGATGGAGACGAGTCCTAGAAATAAAAAGAAGAGAGATTAAATTTTGAAATGAAAACAGTCAGTGCAGGATGTCAGAAAATTCCTTAAAACATGTCAAACATCAGTCAAAAACCACAAAATGTTTTCTACCAAGAAAAACTAGCAAATAATCACATCTAAGAAGCCAAAGTCAGACGATATGAGCTTGAAAATATACTCCAATAATTATACATAGTCAAAAAAGTTGCAGGCAAACAAACTGAAAATTACATTTCTAAATAATTTGATGTTTGGATTTAAAAAAAAATAAATAAAAATCAAATCAAATGTACTTGCACATTTTAAAACAACCCCAGTTGTTCAAAGTGTTGTCTATGTTATAAGACAGGCTAAAAGTAGCAAAAATCAACGCGTAGAACAACATAAAATTCATATAAAACATCAAAATAAATACATAAATGAATAAAGCGGGACAACTCAGGAAATCAGATTCTATTTCTGAGGCTGAAGCTGAACCCATGCAGATCGGACTCAGCGGTGCCCCCAGGAGCCTGAACAGAGGCGTGCCAGGAACACCTGCACCTGTACTGCAGCAAACCTGGTCCCACGAGACCAGGAAAAGATCGGACTCATCTGTAACCAGAGCTGAACTTCAACCTCCTCTGTTCTTCTACTTCAGCTTTCAGCCTCTCTGTTGGAACTCCCAGTCGGTTCCAGTTCAAGCTTTGGTGGATTCTGGTGCGGAGGAGAGCTTCGGTGATAGTCACATGGCAGGACAGCTACAGAGTCCTACTGAGTCTCTGGATGGTCCTGTGGAACCACAAGCCCTCAACAGACTCTCCCTGGCTCGGGTCCAAGAAAAGACTGTTTCCCTCATTATGGCTGGCAACCACCGTGAGACCCTGGCTTTCCATCTCATGGACCATTCAGATTCACCTCTGGTTCCCGGTTATCCCTGGCTCCAGCTTCACAGCCCCCAAATTGGCTGGTCAAAGAAAGAAATCAAGTCCTGGAGCCTTCCCTGTTGCACCACCTGTCTCCATTCTGTGCTGACCCTCTGCATCCTCAGTCTCCTGTGCACCCACAAAAACCGTTGATCTTATCAAGGTACCCCTTGAATACCTTGACCTGGCTCAGGTATTCAGCAAGGATGACGCTGTGTCCCTGCCTCCCCATCGCCCATATGACGGCGCCATCAAGCTGCTGCCTGGAGCCACTTTACCCAGCAGCCGATTGAACAATCTGTCAAAGCCTGAACAAGCTGCAGTGGAGATCTACATCCACGACTCTGGCGGCTGGGATAATCCGTCCATCTTCTTCACCAGTGAGGGCTGGATTCTTCTTCGTAGGTAAAAAAGATGGAACCCTGAGGCCGTGTATTGATTTTCGAGGGGTCAACAATATCACGGTAAAGAATACTCACACATATTAATAAACTCTGCTTTTACACCATGGTTGGAGGGAGCTGAGCATCCGTTCATCGTTTGGACTGATCATAAAAACTTGGAGTACATCCGATCAGCCAAGAGAGTGAACTCCTTCCAGACACGCTGGACTCTGTTTTTTGGACGCTTCAAGTTTTCCGTCACCTACCAACCCTGGTCCAGGAATGTGAAGCCTGATGCCTTGTCCCATCAATTTTCTGTGGAGGAACCTCCGGACAAGCCAGAACCTATTCTGCCCAGGACTTGTGTGATCACCTCCTTAACTTTGAAGGTGGACGGCCAGGTTTGTCGAGCTCAGGCGCTGCACCTACACCCAGGTAACGGCCTACCAGACTCTTTGTTTGTCCCAGACTCTGTGCGTTCTCAGGTGCTGCAGTGGGCCCATTCCTCCAAGGTGTCATGCCATCCTGGGACATCCCGCATCCTTGAGGTCCTACGTCAAAGATTCTGGTGGCCTTCCATAGAAAACGATGCAAGGGAGTTTGTATCGGCCTGTTCAGTCTGCGTGGGCTGTAAAACATCCAGTCAGCCTTGAGAAGGATTACTACAGCCACTTCCAGTGCCACATAGGACTTCTTCACTGGGTTGCCCCCATCCCATCCCAGGGTAATACTTTCCCTCGTAGACCGCTTCTCCAAGGCAGCCCACTTTGTCCCTCGGTCCAAACTCTGCTCCACCAAAGAGACTGCGGGCATTATGGTCAACCAGGTTTTCTGCCTCCATGCGATACCTGCGGACATTGTTTCAGATCAGGGTCCTCAATTCACATTGGAGGTATGGAGGCATTTCTGTGAAGCATTGGGGGCAACCATCAGTCTAACCTCTGGTTTCCACCCACAGTCAAATGGTCAGATTGACTGAGCCAACCAGTCATTGGAAACCTTTCTGAGGTGTATTACAGCGGAGACTCTGTCGGCCTGGAGTTTGCAGCTTCCCTGGGTGGAGTATGCGCACAATTCTCTGACTAACTCTTCTTCTGGCTTATCCCCGTTTCAGTGTTCTCTGGGTTATCAGGAACCATTGTTTCCCGCACTGAACCGAGAGATTCCTGTTTCGTCTATCCAGACATATATGAGGAAGTGTGAAAAGACCTGGACAAAGGCCCGGGCGTCGCTTCTCCAAGCGGGACACGGGATGGAACGCCAGGCCAATCGTCGCTGTGTCCCGGTTCCTGAATACTCACCAGGTCAGAAGGTTTGGCTCAAAGCTAAAGACATTCTCCTTAAGGTGGAGTCAAAGAAGTTGGCCCCTCACTTCATCTGTCCCTTTGCAGAGGGTCATCAATCCGAGTGCTGTGAGGCCGAAACTCCCGGCCTCCATGAAGATCCATCCGACGTTCCATGTTTCGCAGATCAAGCCGGTGAAAGACGGTCTTTTGGCCCTTCTGCTCCATCCCCCTCCACCGCCCAGGGTGGTGGGTGATGCTTCCGCCTACACGGTTAGGCATTTGTTGGATTACCTGAATGAGCACACCTGCAGCAAGGAGTGGTGATGCTGCAACAACCCCTCACTCACAATATAAGCAACGCTCAGTCCACTACTGGACGCTGGACCATGAACCACGATCAGCTAGTTTGCCCAGGCTCTGTACGTGTTCTGATCCGTGATTCTTGTTCAGTGTCTAACCGGTTTCTGTTCAGCTCCAGTTCCAAACACTCATTCCCTGGAAAGCTTCTGAAGACCTCCACTCATCTGGTTCATCTCTGCCATCCACAATCCAGTTCCTGTCTGTAAGCCTCCGGTCTCTCAGTGAATCTGTTAGCTTAGCGTTAGCTTCTGTAGTTTGATTGATAGTCATCTGCTAACCTGGTTAACCTGTGTTTATTGACTCTGCCCGACGTGGCGATACCAAACTTCAGTAGATTAATTTATGGTAATTTGATCGACATCTTGAATCTGTCGCTGTGTAATTTGACGTCCAGTCCAGCGGTAGGTGCTACTGAGCTCTGTTTCGGCTTCCTTTGACCTCGGTTTCCTGTTCCTGTATATTTCTTGATTTGTAAAATAAAAGTCTTTATTGTACTCTTGGGTCTGCGCGTGAGCTCCAGAACCTGAACCGTGACATAAAAAACAGCCTGGAAATTTATGTTATGCTGTTTGTTTGGTTCCAGAAATGTTTCCCAAAAACCAATATTGAAATTAAACGAACAACAAAAAAAAATCTGTAAAATAACATAATAAAAATGTGGGAAAACAAGACTTAAAATGTAATAAAGCAACTTAAATAAACTGGGTCGGATGTACAGGTGGGTTTACACTGTGAGTGAATTTAACTGAAGCATGTAATTGTAAAAGGAAACGGACAGCAAACGTTCATTACATGTGAGCCTATATAAAACACAGAGGTGTGAGATGAGCTCAGCTTTCCAGCCACGTGCTGAACAGACGCCTCTCTGTGGTGAAGAAGCTGATTTATCTCTGCAGCAGATCTTTGCTGTCACGTCCGTCCTCCGACTGAACACCAGCGAAGCCTCCACTGTTTCCTCACGGCACAAACATGAATTCCCCCAAAAATGACGAGTGGATTAACTCTAGATTCAGGAAGGAAAAACTGACGTCACAGAAATATGAGTTCCCCATAGATGGGGTTTAAATGGACGCAGGACTCAGTCAGCATCACAGCAGACACAAGACGACGAAGAAGCAGAAGCAGAAGAAGAAGCAGCTCATCCTCCTCACCATGAAGACTCTGTGTTTGACTCTGCTGCTGCTCTCAGTCTACTGCTGCTGCGACGCCATGCGTGAGTGTCAGACGTCTGTTTTTGGCCGTTTCTTTACATCCGTGGTCAGTTTTCTGCGTGTTTGCATTAAAAAAAACATCTTTAGTTTAAAATTAGAAGATTCCCAAGAACAGAAACTGCAGCAAAGTTTCCCTGAAATGCTGTAAAACTGAAGAAAAATCAGCTATAGATCAGAAATCATTGTTATTATTATTTACAGTTTACAGTAAATTAATGCTTCAATTGATATAATTTACAGTTTAGGCCTGTTTTTTCTTCACATACTTTTTATTCCAGACACAGGTAGAAACAGAACGCTGCACTGAACGGTGGAATCCTGTAAACTGTGAAAATACCTGTAAATAATGATATTTATAGTATATTTAAATAATGTAGAAACAGTGTGATTTCACTAATAAACTGTTGTAAATAAACGTTTTACGTCAGGCAAGAATAATAATAATAATAGTAATTTTTCAGTCCTTAGAAAAACGTGCTTTCAAATTACAGCAAATACTTTTGGAGTAAAGATATTTTTGACTAATTTAAATGGTGTAATTCTGCAGTTCGTATGAGCAGAAACAGATTTTTGACTGATTTACAGCTTTGGCCTGTTTCCTGTACAGTCTACAGATACATGAAAACTATTTGTAGTGATTTGACAACACGGAGAATCAGTAAAACAACAATGAGCTGTTCAGCAGAACATCGCAGCTAGAACCAGGACGCTGCTCTGTTCTGCAGGTCGACGTCTGATTGTTGGGTTGTGGCGTCGTTTCAACATGTTTGCTGGTTCCAGCTTCATCCTGACTTTGTGCTGTCGCCGTCACAGCTGCAGCGCTGCAGGCCACCGCTCCTGGAAGATGCTGCTTCGGCTTCCAGACCCGATCTTTGCCCCTGAGGCTGGTGTCCGGCGTGGTCCGGACCCACAGCGCCTGTCTGAAGCCGGCCTTCATGTGAGCCTCTCCTGCTGCTTCTTCATTCACCTTCTCTGTTTGTTCACACCACAGCCTGAATGAATGAATGATGTTGTCTGTGCAGAGTCCGGACCATCAGAGGACGAGACTTGTGCTACAGCCAGACGTCCCAGTGGGCTCTGGACGTCTACAACAGAACCACCAGGCCTGAAGGCAGCGGACAGTGAACGCCTGCTGCTGCATCACACTGTGATAAACCAATGTCTGGTTTTACAGGCTTAAGTTATGAAGACTTGTTCTATGTTTTTTAATAAAACACGGTTGATGTGAATCGATGGTTTCGTGTCTTTTCTGAGCTGAGGTTCAGCGAATCGGGTCAGACAAAGAAAAAGAAAATTTTCAGTTTACAGTCACGAACAAAATACATTCATAAAGACCTCATAGATATATATATATATAATAATAACAGTAATACATAACACTTATAGAGCGCTTTTTAAGACCCTCATAGACGCCTTACAGAGTAGGCAAGAACAAAACAAACAAACATAAAATGGGAAAGGAGTTTCCAATGACACGAGAATCTCTGTCACAATAAAACAATCACGTGTTTTGGTTCTTTCATAGGTTTTTTAAAGGTTTTCTGGAGATTTGACAAAATGTGTTGGATCATAAATAGAAAAAGAACAACATGAATGATCAGTTCTATTCATGGAGAAAGTTCTGTTGATCTAATGTTCTTAGCTTCATGGCCTCCTAACTCCTCCTGAGAGGTTCTGATTGACTCCAGCTGCTGNGAACTTGACAACAAGCTGCTGGAGATCCTTTAATGTGAGTCAGGTGTGTTGCGGTAACGTCTAGAACCTGCAGGACAGCAGCTCACCAGGACCGGAGCTGGAGATCCCTGGATGAGAGTTTTTGCAGAGAAGAAAGACACAGAAAGGAGGCGGTGAAGGGCTGAAAACCTTTTCCTGAAACTCATCTCCCAGCAGCCTCCTGATTTTGCCTTCAAGCTTCATCTGAGTGGAGGAGGCGAGACAAAGAGAAGGGAGGGAGACAGACGGGTTAGATCACCGGTGAGCCCAGCCGTGTGCAGGAACGTCTAAACAAAGAGGGTTTAAAGTGGCGTCTGTGCCGCAAAACCCAGCGGCTGTGCAACAAAAGGAACTTACTGCACTCATAAAAGCACACTCAGGTGAACTCAGGTCGTTTTAAAACATCCTACACTCAGAGAAAAGCTGATGCAGTTCGACCGACCTTGTCCAGAGGGAACTTGCTGTGTCCCAGCGAGGCCAGCGTGATCTTATGGGAGCCGACCAGACAGAAGTTACTGGAGCGCCGAGCGTTGAGGGAAGGATGAGCAGCGGCTGCAGGATGAACGGAAAGAAAACGGATCAACATGAAAGGACACGACCATTATGACCAGTTTAAACACAACTAAACCTCCCCAGAGTGGAGTACAGCAGGAGGAATCGAAGCTGAAATAAAATAAAACTCACATGTCAGAGCGTTACTGGATCTCTGTTGGAAACAAAACAAAGTGTTCACAGACGGGAAGCGAGAAAAACACACATCAGGAGAAGGTTTGTGGATTAAAATCAAGCTGGATACTCACAGTTATAGTATTCAGAAGCTTTCTTGGTGTGACCTGAAGGTGTGAAAATACCATAAATCAATTAATAACATTCATATTAATAATACCTTTATTTATAGAGCACATTATTGGAAAGAGAGTTTACAAAACGGAGGATATTCAGCAAGAAAACATCCGTCAGACAGGCAGACAAAAGACCAGAGAAGCAGAACGTCAGCACAAAATGCAAAATACAGAATTTTAACGTAAATAAATCGATAGTACAAAGAACGATTCATACAAAAAACACAATAAAAGCACCAAGAATAAAAGGAAATATAATAAAACTGTAAAAACAAGAGTAAAATAAAACAAGAGAATTACACATTTAAAGTTAATTTAGTCCCTGAGGTCATAATTAAAGTGTCGTTTATTGTTTTTTAAATATTCTTCATTTAAATTAAACAGTTTATTATTAATTTTTTCTACACCAAATCCAGTTTTTATCTTCTTGTAGAAACTGCTGATTTAATGACTTGTGTTTTATTTTGCTGCCTTGTGAAGCACTTCGACCCCGTTCAGGACTTTCATACGTAGAAGGTCCAAGAAAGAATCTGTGCAAAACATCTGCTGGTATTCATTACAGACTTTTATATTATGTTAAATTAATCTTCTGATGAGTTGACGTATTTTTGGTTTGACAAACGTCCCTCTTTCTGTATTTAAAAAAAAAAAAAAATCTTCAAAAATAAAAAAACAATAACCTAAACCAGATGAACTGGGGGGTCCAAAAGACCCCTAAAGTCCTGAACAGGGCTGAGAAGTGTTCTGTAAATAACAATAAATACAATTTGTGATAAACATCGCCTGCTCACCCGGGACTTGGTGGCGGTCCGGTCCACGCTGCAGCTGCTGCTCGACGTGTGCGACTAGATGGGACGAAAACAAGCCCGTAAAAAAACGACAAGTTCTGATAACAGAGTAAAAAAAATGAGACGATTTTGTACAACTGAGAAAACAAACAGAGTAAGAAAAAGGCAAGAAGCCAAACACAGGAGGCCGGTCAGCTGGCTTGGATACCATCATCTGGATACAAACCAAAGTCTAAACTAAACCACGTTACACAATCAAATGAGACAGGAACACAGAGGTTACGAATAGGAACGCTGAGCTCGTCAAATCAAGACAAGGTGAAGTCTTGAACCCTGAGAACATCAAACCATCATCAAGCAAGATGGCCAAGAGTCAACCAGGAACCAGCAGGAAGCAGCTCTGGATGGACCAGAAGCTGCTGGAACACAGCTGTCAGTGTCCACAGGGTCTGACATCAACATGAGCTGAGAGGCTGATGGAGAAGGAAGTTCCATCAGGCATGGAGGTGGCAGCATCATGCTCTGGTTCTGTTCTGCTGCCAGTGGACCTGGAGCTTCACACAAATTAGATGGACCAATGAAGGTGAAAATCGTTCTATACTGGTGCCAGAAAATAAATTAAAAATAAAAAGAAAATGTGGAAAGCTTCATTTAGCCTCCTGCATGTACAGCAAATACAGCAAATGGTGTTCTAATTAATTTAGTGACTGATTTTTATTCATTTAATGAAAACAAGAATCACTCATCCTGTTCTAGCTGTTATCAGGATGTACATAAATATATCAGAACTGGCATGAATATAGAAAAATATCCATGTTTTACAGAAACTGCAGTGAATACATTATTGTGACACTATTTACAGTTCAGGCCTTTTTTAATGACCAACTTGTGAACGAAAACTTTTCTCCTGAAGTTTACCAGAAACAGTTCATCTGTTATTATAAAAGGTGAATATAAAATGTGCATAATGACGGTAAAGTGGTGAAAAATCACAGGTTTAAAAGAAAAACAGTGAAAAGGAGAAGAAATAGAGCGAGTTGTGTTTCAGGCAGACTGTGAGGTGACGTGTTCTACTGCTGGACTCTGATTACTGATGAAGCCTCACAAAGACCTGCTGATGGACGTCTGGGGTCATCAGAGGTCCAGCTTCATCTATGACTTTACATCAGAACTGATTCTGTGTGATCAAACTACATCTGCATCGTGATCACGAAAAAGTAAAATATTTGAACTGTTAAATAATAAAGTACCTTTAAACTACAGTTACATGTACTCTGTTACTGTGCAGCTCTGGATCAGCTCCTCAGCGTGTTCTGTTGACGGGTCATTGATGATCAGAGCAGATCAGTACCGGTCAGATCCAGTTTGTTGTCATGGTGCTGTACATCCAGCAGCAGCACAGGCAGGATGAGAACGTTTCTCCAGGATCCAGGAACTTAAACAAGTGTTTGTATCTCTGGACCAGCAGCTCAGCGTTCTGACAGCTGGTGGCATGAAGCTGCTGATCAGGCTGGAGGTTCTTCCTTCAACGCTCCAGAAACGTTTTACTGATGGCAGCAGTTCAGACAGTTGATGGAGAGGCTGTGAGGAGTCCCTGATGATGTTCAGGGTCCTGCTCCTGGAGAAGCTCTGGAGAAGTTCCTGGACAGAGGAGACCCTCTGAGCTCCTCTAACTGTCCTCTGCAGGGCTTTGTGTCTGACACACTGCAGCTGGAGGACCATGTGGAGATGCAGGATGTCAGGACGCTCTCCACCACACCTCTGGAGAAAGTCCTGAGGATGCTGGCAGGGAGAGAGGCTGGTTTCAGCCTCCTCAGGTAGTGCAGTCTCTGCTGGACCGTCTGATGGTCGCTGTGGTGTTCTGATTCCAGCTCAGATCCTGGAGATCTGCACTCTGAGGAACCTAATGTTCTCCACTCTCTCCACTGTGCAGTTGCTGATGCTGAAGGGAGCACGCTCAGGACGTGACCTCCAGAAGTCGATGATCATCTCCTTGGTTTTGTCCACGCTGAGCAGCAGGTTGTTGTTGCTCCACCAGAACCTCTGGGGTTTCACTTCATCTCTGTTCTTTGGTTCTTTGTTCTGGTGAATGAGTCCCACCACTGTGGTACCATCAGCAGCGTGATGGTCTGGATCTCCTCATGTGTGGCTGCACAGTCGAGTGTCAGCAGTGTGGACAACAGTGGACTGAGCACAGAGTCTGGAGGAGATCCAGAGCTCAGCGGGATGGAGTTGGAGATGTTCTTTCCGACCCGGACAGCCTGGGGTCTTTAGGTCAGAAAGTCCAGGACCCAGACACGTGGCGGTGTCCAGGCCCAGGAGGAGGAGCTTCTCTATCATCCATCCATCATCAACGCTTAATCCTCACCAGGGTCATGGGGGGCGGAGCCTATCCCAGCTGACTCAGGGTGAAGGCAGGTTCACCTGGACAGGTAACCAGTCTATCACAGGGCTACACTTAGAGACAGACAACCAAGCACACTCACATTCACACCTACGGACAATTTACAATCACCAATTAACCTCAGCATGTTTCTGGACTGTGGGAGGAAGCCGGAGAACCCGGAGAGAACCCACGCTGCACGGGGAGAACATGGAGACTCCACGCAGAAAGATCCCGGGTGTCCTCACCAGGACGCCAACCAGAGACCTTCTAGCTGTGATGCTAACAGTGCTAACCACTGATCCACCTGCAGCCCGCTTCTCTGTCAGTCTTCTGGTGTTAAACGCTGAGCTGACGTCAGTGTGCAGGATTGTAGGTGGTGGGTGATGACTGAGGGGGTGGATGTTGATCCTCTGTGGGGCGGTTGGGACGGGAGGCGGACTGAAGGGGATCAGGCAGTCATCCAGACGGGCTCCAGCTGACCTCTGGACCACTGGAACTACGGTGGATGTCCTGAAGCATGACAGCAGCCGCCGATCAGGAGGAAATCGATGCTGCTGCAGCAAGTGATGGAACCAGACGCAGAACTGAAACCGAGCGTGATAAAGATCTGGTCTCCACGTTGCACCGTGGAGCAGCTGACGCATGACGAGGTGATGAGGTTTATTCTGAACTGTGGCTTTCTGGTGTTTGTCTGCGTTACGGTTGGTTTCCTGTTTGTCTGTCTGTACACTGAGTCAGACAGAGATCTGGAAAAACGTTCCAATAAATGTCCTGGAACATCCCATAACCCTAAAAACCTGTGACAGTAACAGCAAACATCCGCAGAACTATGATGTTTGAAGCAGATTTAATTACAGTAAAAAATAAATACATAAAAAATAGCATCAAAGGTCAAAAAAAAAAGGAGCTGGAGGTGCATATCTGTAAAATAAAGACGTGTTTGGCTGATTTAAATACAGCACAGACGGTTTCATTCAGAAATTAACTTCTTTTATTTTAATTGGACATTATTTACAGTTTTATCCTGTTTTTTTTTTATAGTTTACATTTAAACTAATATTTTCCTTTCTGTGATTTTACTCGTTATTATCTGTAATTTAACAAAAAGGGAAAACAAATGTCAAATACAAAGACAGTACAGTTTAAAGTTGTTATTTTTTACAGTGCAGATGAGTCTGGAGCGATGCATGAACCCATATTATAGGTGATGCACATTTAACGGGACATTGTTGTAATTATAATAATGATCAGAACCAGAACCAGCTTTAATGGCCCAGTACGCACACAGGAGTTTGGTTTGCTGTTGGTGTCGCCCCAAGAACTGAAACTATTCCTAAACGCTGTAAAACTGAAGAAAATCAGTTATAGATCAGAAATCATTGTGGTCATTGTTTATAGTTTCACATGTAAATTCAGACTTTAATCAGCTGATTTCATTTTCTTCTTTTAAATGAATAATTAAAAGCTGGAGCTTTGCTCCTGCTAAAGATCTGCAGTAAAACATGTGATCTGCTGACGGCGCCACCGTGGTGGGTCTCATCAGCAGGAACGAGGAGCCGACCTGCAGAGAGGAGGTGACTGGTACCGAGTCAACAACCTGTCTCTGAATGTGGACCAGACTGAAGAGATGGTTGTGGACTTCAGGAGAGGACAAAGGGAGCAGCTCCTCTGACCATCGATGGCTCCGCTGTGGAGATGGTCCAGAGCACCTTGTCCTTGGTGTCCCCCTGGTGGAGGCCCTCACTGGGTCCCTCCACACCAGCTCCATAGCACAGAAAGCCCAGCAGCGCCTCCACTTCCTGTGGAGGCTGAGGAAAGCCCACCTCCCACCCCCATACTGACAGTATTCTACAGAGGGACCACTGAGAACTTCCTGAGCAGCTGCATCACCACCTGGTTTGGAAACTGCACTGTCTCAGACCACAAGGTCCTCCAGAGGGTAGTGAGACCAGCAGGAAAACCATCAGAGTGTCTCTCCCCTCCATCACGGACATCTACACCACCCGCTGCAGCCAAAACCCACCAGCATGGTCAAGGACACACACACACACACACCCTGTACACTCCTGCCGTCCGTATATTTTGGCTCATGGAGCTGAAGGTGAAGAGTTCCATCACAGTCAGTGAGTTCTGATCTTTGGAGCACATGTTGGACATGGGATGTCAGAACTTCTCTTCTAGTAAACGGACCTGTTGGTTGGACCAAACAGGACTGAGCTGGACTCAAGGTTCTCTGGTTTCTGGTTTCGTTTCAGCAGATTAACTGTTAACGAAGGTCCAGTCATGTTCATCCCAACGATCTGGACCAGTGACCCGTAGAACTCTGTTTGTTCTCTGATGGAACCATTGAAACACACGAATCTCTGCCACAAATAAAATCTCCTTTTTTGGTTCTTTTGTAGATTTCTTAAAGGTTTTTTTTTTTTTTAATATGACTAAATCTGTCAATATCTGGTTAGACGTCCAGGTTCTCCTCAGTCGGGTTCTTCTGGTTCCGTCCACCAGCTTCTGGTCCATCTCTGACTCCTCTGGACAGAACCGCTGCAGTTCAACTAAACTCGTCGTCTTTCTGACTCAGACTTGTTCCTTCATCAGTCCACAGGTTCTGGATGGTTCCAGTCAGGACTTTGGGGAGACCAGTCTAGAACCTTCATTCCAGCCTGATGGAACCATTTCTTCACCACTTTGATGTGTGTTTGGGCTCATTGTCTGGTTGGAACATCCAACTGTGTCCAAGATCAACCTTCTGCTGATGGTTTCAGGTTCTCCTGAACAACGTGGAGGTGATCCTCCTTCTTCATTGGTCCATCTACTTTGTGTAAAGCTCCAGGTCCACTGGCAGCAGAACAGAACCAGAGCATGATGCTGCCACCTCCATGCTGGATGCTAGGTTGTGTTTCAATCATTCTGTCATAAAAAGTCAAGAGTTATTGGAAACTCTTCACAACCAAAATGTCCTAAATGACTTAAAACTTTTCTAAAATGACCAAAGTCTGTCCAGAATTATTCCAAAATAACCCAAAAATGACTCCAACATCATCCAGAGCAGCCTGAAATTGGTCCAATATGACTGGAAAGCTGTCTAAACTGACAACTTGTCCAAGCTTACTTTAAAATATGTCCAGAATCAGCTATTGAAGATGACAATAAATGTCAAAAACGCTTCAGAACTTGTTGAAAATGACAGAAAATAGTTTGGAACTCAAACTTTATCCAGAATGACCTGAAAGCTGTCCAACCTAACCTACCATCTGTCCAAAATTACTGAAGTTATTTTAAAAAAAAAAACATCCAACTATGTCCAGGATCAACCTTCTGCTGATGGTTTCAGGTTCTCCTGAACAACATGGAGGTGATCCTCCTCCTTCATTGGTCCATCTACTTTGTGTGAAGCTCCAGTTCAGAGCATGATGCTGCCGCCTCCATGCTGGACGGTAGAAAAAAACTCAATTGAAACTATATTCGACTGTTTAACTCTCTGATGGCACATCCACTGTTCTAGACTTAAATGTTGTTTCTTTATCTGCTGAGCGCCCTTTTCCAGGATAAGTCCTTTTAGTGAGGAGAGGACTTTTTAACATTACACTATGGATAGAAACCCAACAAAACCAAATTACTTCCTCCGTCAGAACCAGGCCCAGGGACCGGTCAGGGTGCAGAAGGTAAAGCCCAGACAAACAACAGACACATGAAGGTGACGTACGCGACGCAAACGTGATTCAAAGAAGAGATCGGTGCACGCTGTGGGGGTTAAAGCATAACCTGTCAACTTTAATATTAACCATGTACAGTTAGAGACAGAACACTCGATAAAACAAAGAAGAGAAGCAGAAACAGTGTGTAATATAGATTTATATATATATATATATAAAAAGAAAATATTACAAAAAAAACCCACCTAAACTTGTTTGAACTTGGTGTTACTGAGGGGCGAGTGGTTCACAAGCGTCTCATAAAATTCAGTCCCTGTTTTAAACTTGTCGGACCACAGAAGTGTGATTAAACGTAGCCTGACCCGGTCCTGAGAACTCATTGGCATAGATGTTCAGATGAATGGAAACGTCCTCCTAAGACGAGCTCTACATGATTCATCCCTCACGTATCACAGTCTGAAAAAAACGAAACAAGAAAAGGCCACCGAGCAGCCAGCAGTATGTACATCATCAACAGATCAGGGCTTCAGGTCGTCCCGCTTGCATTTTGCTTTGAACGCGTCATGAAGAAACTAATCTAAAAGACTCATCTAAGAGTCACTTAAGAAAACTACGAGGGCTTTAAGGAGTCGCTCTTCAACCGTACATAGAGAGTTATTAATATCATCATATGAAAATAAAACATGACAACTCTGGGAAAGAAGAAAAGGGATGTTAGAGGTTCGACCGCCTGAGCGCTACAGCTCCAGACCGACGGAGGAGGTTAGAAGCCTCCGCAGAGGAAGGAAGGGCTTTTCATGAGTCGTCCTTTTTGGTGGTTTTTTACCCAAAAAGGAAAAATGTGAGAAAACCTGCGGACATCAGGGTTCAGGTCGATGACAACATCCATCACTCACGTCACAATAACACACCTCATCACGGTCACCTGGGACGATTCACACCGACGTCGCATAATGTCGTCTATTCAGGAAGGAAACACTCCGTCTAGCCCCGCCCTACTCTTCATCCTCACACACAGCTTTAATAGAACACACCTGCCACTGCACAGCACACCTGTCTGAAGGCCCGGCCACGCCCACTTGGAAAAAGGATCATTATCGGAGTCGAATCTGGAGAAATCGTAAACTGGCACTGTTGACCCAAAACACGACGTCTAGACGTCTGCTTCATCTAAACAAACGTTAGTGAACGTACTAGCTTAGCTGCAAGACGAATGGTTTTGAATTTATTTGGAAAATGTATTTGCCGCCGAAAAAACTAGCTGTGTTAGCACATACGTTAGCGCACTTATGCTAAGGCCAGATGAGATCATTTTATTCGATCAAACTTGATTTGCTATCGCTAACCTCGTTTTAGTCATTAGCCGCATAAGACTTCTTTCGCTATTGGAGAAACTCGTTTATTCAAAACTTCCTGTTTCCTCCAGGACCAGAATTTTTGACAAAAAAAAAAAAACATTTAATTTGAAAAATGTAATCACAAACAAACAAAAGGAAACTAGTTTTGTTAGCAAACATTAGCAAATGCATTACTTTAGCCGAAAGATGCATTTTCTGATGAAAAGTTATTAAACTATCTAAAAAATGCATTAACCCATGAAAAAACAGCTTTGATAGCACTTAGCTTAACTTGTTAGCAAGCTTATCGTTTAACTCAAAAGATTTCAAATGAAAAAAAAAACAAGTTCTCAGACTGATGTGTTTCATATTTCTTTATCTGCACATATTTTAACTGGAAGATTTAATTTGGAAAATGTGATCGTAAACAGGAGAACGAGTTTTGTTAGCAACCGTTAGCGAATGGATTTGTTTTAACTGAAGATGTAGTTTATCTGCTTGTGAAAAAAGCAAGTTCTGTTAGCATACATGTCTTTTGAATTTTATGAATTTGCCAAGAGAAGAAACATGATTTTTATTCCAATGGATGTAAAAAATTAATTAGTAAGTTTATAGTGTAGAGAAAAGATGTCATTTTTTACCCAATCTTTTGGTTTGCTGTTTCCTTGGTTTTAGTTTGTTGAATGATTTAAGTCCTGAGAAATTCCAGCGTCAATAACAGACGACAACGCTGCAGTAGGGTGAGCCGTGCTAGCATGTTAGCGGTTAGCCTGCTGCAGTGGGGTGACCAGTGCTAGCATGCTAGCAGTTAGCCACAATAACGCTGTGGCGTGGTGAGCAGTGCTAGCATGATAGCAGTCAGCCACGATGACGCTGCAGTGGGGTGAACAGTGCTAGCATGCTAGCGGTTAGCCACGAAAACACTGCAGCGGGGTAAACAGTACTAGCATGTTAGCAGTTAGCCACAACAACTCTGTAACGGGGTGAACAGTAATAGCATGTTAGCAGTTAGCCGCGACAACACTGCAGCGGGGTAAACAGTGCTAGCATGTTAGCGGTTAGCCACGACAACGCTGCAGTGGGGTGACCAGTGCTTGCATGTTAGCAGTTAGCCTGCTGCGGTGGGGTGAACGGTGGTAGCATGTTAGCGGTTAGTCTGCATGTGAACGGTTAGCCTGCATGTTAGCAGTTAGCCTGTATGCTAACGGTGGTTAACTGGCCCTGTGAGGATGCGTGAACGTGTTCGGGTGCGACCGGGCCTTAACTCAACCCGTCCTTAGCTGCCTCCTGCTTCAGAAACTTTCCTCCACCTGCACGTTTACCTTCTGCCGACTCGCTCCGGAGTGTTTCAATGTCGTGTTAAATGTCGGGCAAAGAAAGAGCTGCGGGTCTACGGATGCTAGAGAAGGACTACATGTGTACGGATGGCGATGCAGGTCCTCGCCACGACTCGGCTCAGAGGAAGTCGGCCGCTCCTCCTTGTCAGGAAATATAGGAAAATAGAATCTCACAAACACATGCACTCCCCATGAAGACGGTGTGGCGCTGCAGAGAGGCCGGCGTGTCGTGTGTGTGGGTGTCGTGTTGAGCTGTTGGGTTGTGTTCTCTGAGGACCACCAGAGCTTCAGAGGGGATCAAAGAATAAAGGTGTGGAGCTGAAGCAGAGGCGGCGTCGGCTTCAGAAGATCTTCCCTTTCTTCTTGTTCTTCTCCATCGTCCTGGGAGAGAAGAAGTCAAAGCGTTACCTCGACGTTTTGGGTTTTTATCCAAAAAACATCCTGGTTTGGCTTCAGAGTAATAAAAAAAGTAAAACATGTAATTACTGAAGTCTTCACCTCCTTTAATTAGGTATCAAATCTGTTGTTTTTGAAATTCCTGTTGAGAAAACTGCGATCACAAAAACAATAACGAGGAAAAAACTCTTTTATGTCAAAGTGAAGCTGATTTCTACAAAAGTGAAAAGTCAGTTTAATCAAAATTAAAGATAAATGACTGCGTAAGTGTCCAACCAGGTCTGTCGTCACTCTGACATGAAACCGTGTTTTTGGTCAATTCTGGTCAACAAAACCGACGGTCACCAGAACTTCGCTCTTTTGACCAGTTAACTGAATCACTTTGATGCTGAAGTGAAAACAGATTTATTGTCGTCTGATGAAACATGAATAACGTGTTAAAGCTCCTCATGTCAGCCTGACGTCTGTGTTCAGGATGTTGTTTCAAACCGCCGTCAACCAGGTAAACAAGTAACTGCGTCAGCCAATAAGCTGACGGCGGCTGTGTGTCGGTCACAAGCTCAGACTGAAACAAACTCCCGACTTTAAGCCGGATCGGTACTGACTTGGAGGCGTCGAGCTTCTGCTGCTCCAGGATCCTCTGCTGAGCCTCCCAGTTGGCCTTCTCGTCCTCGAACACTCGCCTCTTCTCCTCCAGCTCCTTGTACTGGGCCTCCAGGTTCCTCTTCATCTGCTCGTGGCGCCGCTCCAGCTGCAGGCGACAACAGCACAAAGTCAGAACGAGTCCAGACGATGAGCTGCTGAAGGCTTCATGAAGCCGTCCAGGAGCTCAGCTTGATGTTCCTTAAAAATCAGGAGTGACAGTCAGCAGAACAGACGATGATCAGACGTGTTTGTTTGGTCAAACCTGTGAAACCGGTTCTGAAAGTTCTAGAACTAAAACCTTCAAACCTTTTGTGACCCAGCGGTTCACATTCACGTGTTCTGATGTTTGTGGTCCTGCAGCTACAGTCAGTGTGACGTATCAGATGGAACCGATAATCAGATTATTGATCCAGTGTGACCGGTTCTGGATCATGATGACAATCGTTCAGGTTTTTATCTTCAACAGTTCCTCAGACGCTGTTCAAAGTTAAACGTGAGACTAAAGCTGCTCAGAGTGGATCAGTGGGATCAATAGATGAACGAATAAACAAATAAATACTAAATAAACAACCAAATAAATAAACAAACAGCTAAATAATTAACTAAATAACTAAACAAATAACTAAGTAAATAAATGAATAAACAAAATAAACAACTAACTAACCAACTAACTCACTCACTCACTCACTCACTCACTCACTCACTCACTCACTCACTAACTAACTACCTACCTACCTAATTAACTCACTACCTAACTAACTAACTAACTAACTAACTAACTAACTCACTACCTACCTAACTAACTCACTAACTAACTCACTAACTAACTCACTAACTACCTACCTAACTACCTAACTCACTACCTAACTAACTAACTCACTAACTAACTCACTAACTACCTACCTAACTACCTACCTAACTACCTAACTAACTAACTAACTAACTAACCAACTAACTCACTAACTAACTAACCAACTCACTAACTCACTAACTAACTAACTAACTAACTCACTAACTCACTAACTCACTAACTCACTAACTACATCTCAGAATATTTGATAATCAATCACAGACATAATTGTAAATATTTATAATTAGATTCTTCATAGTTCTGACAGAACCAGAACACTATTTGTTGTTGTTTACATGTTTGTTTTGTTGCCGGCACCGTTTGGACCTTCAGCATCATGTTTTTTACTCATTTCACAGCGCCTGCGATCAGAAGCACCGTTCACCGGGTCGGTTCAGAGTTGACCCGGTTCCCCGCTTGGTTCTGACTCCTGGGATATCGGACCCACCTCGGCCTCCGAGTCCTTCAGCTTCTGCTTCTTCTCCTTGACCTTCATCTCGAACACCTGCTCCATCTCCGCCTCCATCTTCTTCATCTTCATGACGTGCTCGCGGCGCTCCTCCTCCATCTGGGCCAGAGGACTCCTGCAGCGACACAAACTGGGTCAGAACTCTACCTGAGGATGAACCGGTCCAGACCATCAGGCGGAACAACGCCGCTTCACTTCATGTAATCACTCATGAGTAGAACCCAGACGCTGCTCAGGTTCTTCTGCCATGTTTAAGAACTTCTGCTGCACTTGGAGAACAAAGCAGAACTTTCTGGGCCACCAGAGTCCAAACTGCTTCATGCTAAGCTAACGAACACGTATCGGCTGCTCAACCAGCTCAGACGGATCGTGGACGGCGGCGGCTCTTACTTGGTGAGCTGCCCTTTGGTCTTGGAGGTGTCCACTCCGTTGCAGGTGACGGCGGCCAGCTTCTTGCTGCGGTAGTTCTCATAGTGGACGTTGTTGGTGACGTCCTTCAGGTCCTGCATGTGGGTTCTGTGGAGGAGGAAGAAACGAGTCAGGAGATGATAAAAATAAAGGTTTTCTATGTTTACCCTGGTGTAGAGTCTACCAGCAGAGGGCAGGATGCTGGTTAAACTGGTTGAACTGGTGGAGATGCTCACTTTGAGAAGTCTCCTTAACCAATAATCTGCAGTCCTATCAGTTAATGTGAATGAACCAGCTGCTCGACAAGCGTGAAGCTGCTGCTGAAGCAGGAGACCTCGTCCTGCCGTCTGAAGATTCTCAGTCAGGTTTGATCTCATCCTTTAGCCACAGTGGGGCTCGTTAGGGTGGAGCACTAACGACTCGCATAACGAGGGGGAGGAGCAACAAACCCCCAATTAAAACCCAGGTGTTCACGTCTCCTTCAGGATGTCAGTATGGATGGAGGTGGAACGTCTTCAGTCAGTCCAGCTGCTACCATGAATCCAGCAGACCTTGTCCTGGTGGAGCTTTAACTCCCACAATGCTCTCTGTCTGCCAGCAGCGTGGACCGACTACGTCCACACCTCCTTCATCTCAGGACTCCAATTAAACACAATGACATCATTTAATCAGCAAAAACATCAGCGAGCTGTTGACAAAAGGTTCAGATGAATGACATGCAGCTTTAGGAACAAACAAACTGTAAATAATGGCATCAGGAAAATGTGCATTTGTAGTTTGATTCATTCTTTTGGAGATTTTCACTGTATTCAAGTCAACAAGTGTTATTTTATAGATATTTGAGATTATTTGAAGGACAGATTATTTAAATTAAGCATCAGCAAATGTCAGAAGATTTGATGTGTTAAATTACAAATAATGTCTCACAGCATTATGGAGCAGCGAGAGGCCAAACTACCAAAATAAATCAGAAACAGAACAATAAAATAAAAGTGGAAATAAAAAGAATAAATAAAGTAAAAAATAAATAATGTGGCAATATGAAGCGATATTAATCAAACATGGATCCATAAAATAAACGGCTGATAAAAGTAGAAATATAAAGACAATTAAATAAAAGAATAATAAAAATATATATTTTTATTTTAAATTGTAAAAAAAAATATATTTTTTAAATTATTTCTAAAATGTTTAATTTATTTGTTTTTATTATTTTTAAAATGTATTAAATTTTTTTTTCATTTTTATTAATTTTTTAAACATTTATTTTAATTTAATTTTTTAAAATAATGTTTCCTTAAAAGCAAAGGCACAATGACATTCCTGCTGCGCATATTTCCTTTGCTTTTAAAGGAATAAAAAATAAAATAATTTTTTATTTTATTTATTCTTCTTTTTATTTCCACTTTTACTGATTTATTTTTATAATTTGGCGCTCTCACTGCTCCATACAGGTTTATTTTGTTTTTATAAATTTAAATGTTAACTGCAATAAAAAGTCAAAACTGTGCTCATAAAAGAAGAAGTCGTTCTTCTGCTGTGTTTAAATCAGCTACAAATGTGATTGTTTTACCCCTGCTTGCTGTTCCTTTCCCTCTCTTTAGTGCTCTAAACCAGGACCTTAAACCCAGCTGCTCGTTAGTGAATGACTCGTCTCACCTGATCAACATGTTGCGCAGCACCGTGAAGTCGCAGTGTTCTCCGTTCTCCACTGAAACACAGCAAGAAAGAGGACAATGCAGACGGACGTCACAGTTACTACGCATGGAGACGTGTGGGCGGCCGTCACACTCGTTCCTCTAGGGGGAGCTAGAGACGCACTGCAAGCCTCTACGGTGGTCAATAATCCCAGCAGACTAAACACGTCAGGCATTAACACACACGTGAACAGACAAACACGTATGACGGCCTCATTCATCCAGCAGCCACAGAGGAGCAGCACAGGTTCAGTTTAAAGTCTGCAGCACATGGACAGAACCAGGAGTCAGGCTGTGAGCACAGAGGAGGACGTGGAGTCCAACGGGTCACTGCAAAGCTTCTGGATCGACTCACACGTGTCTATCATGGTACTATAGAGCAGCTCGTTTACTTTCAGGATCATTAGCTGCTCGCTGCTTCATCTATCCTCAGAGTCAGTCTGGACTAAACCCGTCAGGAGCTCCTCAGTCTGACTACATGTGAGGAAGGTCTGGATTTGATCTGACGGACACACGACAGGCTGAGGACACATCTGGGCTCTGTGAAGGTACGTCCGTCTGAATAGGATCCTCCTCAGAGTGGACCCTGTCTGTAGGTAGTTCTGGTAGGTTCTGGAGGTCAAACGGTCCTTCCACTGTCTACAACTGGTTCTGACCAACCATCACACATGAACTGTTATGACTAAAAAAATGTTTTAAAAAAAAAATCACACAACTTGGTTAAATCTCAAAAACAAATCTCAAAATGGACCTTTCATTTCCAGTAACTGGTTCTGATCCACCCCCTGTTCCTGAGAAACTGAGGAAATGACCAAAAAGTGTCCAAAAATACTTAAAGTTTTCCAGAATGACACTAAAAGCAGCTAAAATGACCAGAAATGTGTCCAGTGGTGACTCAAAGTTAGACTGAAGTGACTCAGATTGATGAAGATCACTGAGAAACTGTCCAAAAAGACCCGATTGGTTCTGGAGGTAAAACGGTCCTTCCATCGTCCAGAACTGGTTCTGACCAACCACCATCACACATGCTGATATGAGCCTGGAAAGTTTACCCAGAATGCACTTTGTAAAGTTTCCTCTGGTGACTGATCAGAACCAGAACCACATCCAGGGTACCGATGATTGTTTCTATGACTCTGTGTCATAGACATTAGACTGGTACCACTATGAGACATCCCATAATATTAACCTGTGCTCAACAGTGGTCCAAAATGAACCACAGTTTGTTCAGAATTTGTTCAAAACTACTACCGCCAAAATGACAGAAACCAGATCCAGTGTTCAGCCTGAGACACCAGTGGGTCCAAACATTTATCAGTGATTCAAACGGAGCTCTGACGTGTTACTAGTTCATCAGAAAATGCTTAAAATGTCATGAAAGATCCAAAACTATAGAAGAACTGGTCACAACTTCTCAAAATCTGCTCAAAGAGGCAAAAACCCGTCAGACGTGACTCAACGTTTGTCCAAAACGACTCAAAACGTTGTTTAAAGTGACATAAAAGTTTTCTAAAATTAAACAAAAACCATCAAAAACTACTTAAATTTCAGTTAGTGTTCAGACTGAGACACCTGGATGGATGTAGAACTGATCTGGTGTCAGGTTCTAGCAGAACCCAGATGTGTTCTTCCTCCTAAATGTCATGTGTCTATCTGCTGTACTGATGAAGTTCTGAGGCTCAGAAATGATGGAAAAAGTCCATTAAAGTGATCAATCTGGACCCTCCTCTGTGGACTTGAAGGACCTGGACCTCTGGAACATTCACAGTCTGAAGGTAGAACTCTGGTCAGTAGATAAGGGTGCTGCAGATACAGAACCAGATGTTCTGAGGTCAGCTGGAGGCTCTGACTGATCAGTCAGAACCAGCAGCAGCTGGGTTAGTCGCCTCCTGTCTGGTCACAGCCTTCCACGGTCAGAACCAGCAGCAGCTTTTATTAGACTGTGAGCTTCCACCTCAGCAACAAAGACAAGGTTACGAGGTCAGACGGGATTCTGGAAAAGGGCTGCAGATAAAGTGCCGCTGAGCTGTGGGAGCCTCGTCCTGGTGGGCCCGGCGGTCCGGGTGGCCCAGCGGAGCTTCGTCACCTTACCATTGATGAAACTTAAGCAGCGGTCCCGCCCCGCGGCCTGCCAGGCCAGCCATTGACCTCCTGTCTCTTCTAGAGGAGGGAGCTCTGACGGAGGGGAGGGTTTCAGTTACTGTTCGGCCCAGCGGGGGCTAAATCTGGGTCTGGACCGAGTCGGGTTCGGGTCGGCTGCAGAACCAGAGGCTGCACCTCCAGAACCAGCGGTGATCCAGTCGTCCACTGAGCTGAAGGACCTGATGAATGGGGAGATACTGGACCTGGAGGAGGTCTTGCTAGTTGAGCGTTTACATTTAGGAGCTGTTCAGGCGTCAAAACCTGAAAATGAGAGTTTTCAGGGATTCTCCTGCATTTATCGTTTTATCTGGTATTAATATGTGACGTATTAGTGGCTGGTCATAAACCCATGAGTCCGTATCAGATATTAGAGGCATGAATTAACGTTTTTGTCTTTTATTGTTTTTAGGAAACATAAACATGAACCTGTTCTACATCATTCTGAGTATTTACAGTATGAATCAAGTTCAGTGTATTTATGATGATGAACATAATGACGCATTGATATGGAAGCAGACTTTATTTAAATGACAAACTTGAAAAGGAAATTTTAACTCATAACAGCGTTGTAGTTTGTTTTTGTGCTATTTGAGGGAAAATTAGAAAATCAAAAATGCAATAATCCAATTAGTGGTTTAATATTCCAGTGTGGACCTTCTATGGAAATATTAGCATGTGAAGTACGTAAAGGCGCTAACATGTCGGCGCCACGTCGCTGTTCAGGTGTTAAAACTTAACACAAAAATCAAAAACAGTATTTTCTTTTTTACTTATCCTTCATTTTGCATTTTTAACTATAAATAATTTAATTTGCTTCCCAAAAACAGTTTTAGCTAGACGAGCAGGGGAACGGTGAGTTTTTCAGAGTTTTAGCTTCAGCTAGCTTTAGCGAGTTTTATCGTCTGAAAAAATAAGTTTTTCCTGCACAAAGGAACTTCTGGTGACATTCACGGTGTTCGCCAAGTTCAGCAGCACCGAGAGGAGAAGAACTTAGATAAAAGTAGATCACACACACATTAGAATATTTAGTTTTAATGGCAGGTTTGCTCATTTAAATACACTAGCGTTAGCTGTTAGCATTAGCTGCTAACGCTAGCTGCTAGCTGGAGGAGTCACGAAGACTCTCAGCCTCTTATAATTAAATGTTTAAAACTAACTTAGACAATATTATCTAAGTGGAACAAACTTTTAAAGATAAAAAGTACTCGTACATAAAGTAGTATTTTGATCTGAATAAACCTTTAAAACCATAACTCTTGATCCATAAGTTCTTTAAAAGTACTACATTTATGGAATGAACCTCTAAATTTAATAGTATATTATGAGTAGTATTATTTTGTCTTGAATAAACCTTTACATCCATAACTGTTTAGAAAATATTAAGTGGCACAAGCTTCTAAAATTAAAAAGTACCGGTACAGACAGCAGTATTTTATCTTAAATAATAAAGCTTTAAATCCATAACTTCTTAGAAAGTACTATATTTATGGATTAAACCTTTAAAATTAAAAAGTACTGGTACATATTTAGTTTTTCTTTACATATTTTGTCTTGAACAGAAATAATAAATCCCTCCACCGGTCCTCCGCTGCAGTAGGGGGCGCTGTCTCGGTCCTGTCGGTGCAGCCTCCGGTGCTGCAGACTCCTACTGTCTTCTGGAGCAGCCGGGTTTGTTACTTGGCCCAGAATCGGCCCGTGTTTGGCCCAGATTGAGCCCAGATTTGGCCCAGGATCAACACCATAAGCTGCATGTGTCCAAGCTGACTGGCTACGGGAGGGGAGGTGTTACATGTGCATGACCAGCAGGGGGCGCAAGCCTCGAGGAGGGGGCGAGTAGAGGAGCTCAGTGGGGTCAGGGGTTCAGAGGAGGAAAAACATCTCAGCTCGGCAGAAAATACCTGACGATGCTTTTCATTTGGAGGGTTTTAGCTCGTTACTCGTCAATGAGAATAAAAGGAGTCGTCAGGTGTTTTGAGCCTCAGTGCTTCCACTACCAGCTTGTTCATGGTGTTTAATGAAGTCAAAGCACAACCTTAAACCTGGAACATGCACAGAAGTGGACACGTTAAAGTCTGACATTAAGCTCAACGTGTGCTAATGAGTGAGGTTCATGACACCAAGCCACATGTTACCTGGATGAGCCGCTAACATGCCCGACTGGGAGACGCTAACCGCTAACCGTTAACTGCCCATGAGCCTATAAGCGATGCGTTAGGGAGGTGGAGCCCCGTCGTTGGCCCGGTGGTGCGGTGACATCAAACGGGTCGGTACCACCGGAGCAACGAAGGGACCCACGGCGTTAGAGTGATGTTTCTTCAGCACCAGACAGCCTCTAGGGTTCTCCATGACTAGTCACAGCATCAGACCTGGGACAAGGCCTCACGTCTCCACAGACATACATCTGGCTTCCTGCAGCCTCGGCGTTCCTCGCTTTGTCTTGTTGAAAGTTAAAAGCTGCTGAGATCTGGGACCACAGTGGCTTCACCAGAAACAAACCAAACGGAGCAACAAACACGAGCAGTCGGACCGGTACACGGGTTTAACCCGCAACAGAAAATAAAATATAAAGATTTACTGAAGGTCTTCTGGAGATATGATGAAACCTGCTGGGTCATAAATATTCATATATCAATACTAACATCTGGTTAGACGTCCATGTTCTCCTCAGTCGGGTTCTTCTGGTTCCGTCCACCAGCTTCTGGTCCATCTCTGACTCCTCTGGACAGAACCGCTGCAGTTCAACTAAACTCGTCGTCTTTCTGACTCAGACTTGTTTCTTCATCAGTCCACAGGTTCTGGATGGTTCCAGTCAGGACTTTGGGGAGACCAGTCTAGAACCTTCATTCCAGCCTGATGGAACCATTTCTTCACCACTTTGATGTGTGTTTGGACTCATTGTCTGGTTGGAACATCCAACTGTGTCCAAGATCAACCTTCTGCTGATGGTTTCAGGTTTTCCTGAACAACATGGAGGTGATCCTCCTTTTTCATTGGTCCATCTACAGCAGAACAGAACCAGAGCATGATGCTGCCACCTCCATGCTTGATGGTAGGTTTGGTGTTCTTGGGGTTAAAGGCCTCACCTTCTCTCCTCCAGACATGGTTCTGCTCAGTGTTGGTTCCATCTGACCAGAACTTTCCTCCAGAAGACCTTTTCTTTGTCCATGTGACCAGCAGCAGACTTCAGTGGAGCTTTAAGGTTCTGCTTCTAGAGGAAGAACTTCCTTCTCCATCACCTCTCAGCTCATGTTGATGTCAGACCCTGTGGACACTGACAGCTGTGTTCCAGCAGCTTCTGGTCCATCCAGAGCTGCTTCCTGCTGGTTCCTGGTTGACTCTTGACCATCCTGACCAGTCGTCTCTCAGCAGCAGCTGCTAGTTTGTGTTTCCTTCCTGATGGTGGCAGTAACACAACTGGACCATGAACTTTATGCTGACACACTGATGGTTCTGGATCTGAAGCTGCTCTGAAATGGATCCAAGTGACTTTCTGATGATGTTCTTCTCCAGATCTTTGCTGAGCTCCTCAGACTTTCCCGCTGCAGTGTCTGAGTCTCATGAGTGGATCAGATGGTTCTGCTGAAACTGGATCAGAGGAGTCAGCAGCTGGAGTCGAGCAGAACCACTCAGGATATTTTGGACTCAGCACATTTCATCATATCTCCAGAAAACCTTCAATAAATCTTTGGAAGAACCAAAATAAATGATTGTTTTTGGTGACAAAGATCAAGAGTTATGTGTCATTAGAAACTCAGGACAAGTTCTTCATCGACCAAAACCAAAGATGTTAAACAGCAGAACCAGAACCGCTCTCACCAACTCTGACCAACGAGCTGCCTGAACCTCTGACTGCTCGTGTTTCTCGCCTCGTCTACGAGTTCCCAGATCTCAGCTGCTTCTGCGGCAGAACACAAAATGTTGGGAACCGAAAGCCGAAAACAAGATTTCCAATAGAACCGGATCTGGTTGGCTCTGAGCAGCAGAAGCCGCCGTCCATCATGTGATCCATCGGGTTGACTTCAGCTCAGAAAAACTTGAGCAGCTCCAAAACATTCAGTAACACTCAAGTTCTGTTTCTTCTGTTCACGTATTTAATGTACGCCTCCACATCACATCACAAGCCTTTTATGTATGTTGTTGTGCGGTGCTGACAGTACTTATCCATATTTAATTCTGTTCTGTCATCAGTATGACATAAACCGTCTCTTAAATGTGTGATTTGTGCCAAATCCAGCGTCTATTCTCCTAAAGGCTCATTTATCAGCCGTCTAACGGGATCACATGAAGGATTTCAGCCTCTTTGCTCGTCTACGTTCCTCTTTTTGCCTCTAAAATGCAGGTTTTGTGGCTTCGGGAGCGTTTCGGTCTGCAGCCCAGGTCTGATTCGAGCATTGGTTTGACCATCAGCCTAATGATGAGACAGCACAGCAACAGAAAGGTGGAGGGAAAAGGAGGGACGGGGCAGAAGATGGAGGCTGGAAATAAAGTGAAAGATGGTTTCGTTTACCAAAAATGCCCTCTGTCAGTCATGGAAAAGAACAGACGAAGAAAAAAAGAAGAAAAAAACAAAAAGAAAAAAGAGAGAAAAGAAAGAATGAAATAGTGAAAGACTGATCAGCGGTCAACCACAGAGACACAGAGGAAAAGAACTTCACAGCTTCATGAGCAACACACCACTGAGAACAGTTCATCGAGGCTAACGGCGGCAGGCTGACATCCCAGAATACTCTCCGGCTACCCGCCTTTTCCAGAATCCCTACCGGGTCGGGACCAACACCACCGGGAGTGTTTGCATGTGTGTCCGAGGGAAGGAGGTCGTGAAGAAACGGACAGAAAACCGAGAACTTGTCAACATGTGAAGAGGCTCCGAGCAGGTGGACGCTCAGCCGCCGAGAACCCACAGCAAAGGCTTTGGACTGGTCGTTATTCACACATCTGCTGGTTCTGTACAGATTACTGATCCGTATTCCAAGATAATGTTCTGTAAAGTCACAGAAAATCATATTTTCAAAAGGTCAAAAATGTCGATCACATCAGAAACCTGTAATTTTTATTTATTTATTTTTACAAATAATGAGTTTGTTTTATTAATTTATTTATTTTATTATTATTATTTTTTACAAATAATGCATTTGAGAGTAAAATGAAGGTTTTTTTATTTTATTTCGACGTGTTATTTTACAGATACTGACAAACAGGAAATCACTTTTTAAACAGTTTTATTATTCAGCTCCGGTACTGATGACGTTTATTAACAGAAAAAAGCGTTTATTAATATGTCGACTTTAAAAAACTATAAATTATGTCCAAAATCTGTATTTTTACAAATATTAATTTGTCCCTTTATGTTTGAATGCAAAATTACACTTTTTATTATTTTTTTCTGTATTTCAATCATCTAAAAAACTTAATTTAAAAAGAATAACAATAAAAACAATAATAATAGAGTGATTTTAAAGAGAGATTATGCGTAAATGTTTTTCTTTAACAGATATTCTGTTAAATTACAGATATTTGGTGAAACTACAGCCAAAACAACATTAATTTAAATGTTGACTATAAAACAGACCAAAACTGTAAATGATTTAAAAAATCTGTATTTTTACAAATAATTGTTCTTTTCCAAGAACTTACACCATTTTACTGTGTTTGAGTCTGAGAGAAATCTCTACATCTGTATCTGTCAGTACCTCTCTCACACGATGTCAGTTAAAGTTTAACGTCATAAAACGTTTAGTTGATGCTTCACTTGATGCTTTTAATTAAAAATGACTCTTAAATTAACGACACAAACAATGTTAATGTTTTGTCCAAAGAGGTTCAGAAAATATTCACATTTAAGAAGCTGAAATTTGAGAATTTGGACTTTTCCGTCTAAAAACCCAAAACCCTCCACCAGTGAACAAGACTTTCATGCTGTTTTAACTGTTTTGTTTTCTTGTTCACATCTTGGAGGCTTTTTTAAAAAAACTGTTTTGTACTTAAAAAGTTAGAAAATAGTGAATTAAGATGAAGTGAAATGAGGTCTAAGGTCTGTTCACATGTTGACAGGAGCTCGTGTTGCCGTGGTTTCCACACTGAGTGGGTGTGGGAGGGTCTCTGTGGGGGGACATGCAGAGTCCAGACTGTCGGGGAGGTCATGCTCCATCCATCCCACAGCAGAAACACCAACATGCTCGAGCGTTTGGAGTTGAGTCTGAGGACCGGGCCGGAGGTCAGAGCTTCGCCGCTGCAGCTCGTTAACCTGTCGCGTCCTACTTCACCCTGTCGGTTCTGAAGCTGAACCGGACCTTCCAGACGGACCTACCTTCAGCCACGCCCCACGGGTACTGCCGACCGCGGACCTTCTTCCCGTTCACCTCGATGACCACGTTGCTACCGACGACGGCCAGCGGCATCTTCTCCTGGACGGCAAACACCGCGTCGTTAGAAAGTTCAGCCTTTTCAAATAATAATGAGTTTATCTGATTGGTGACTCCGCTCATCTTTGCATCTCCTGGAAGCTCTTTGATTGGTCCGTCTGCAGCTGCAGCGTCTGACCAATCAGCAGCTCCGTTACCTTGATCTTTCTGATCAGCTTGTTGTCCTCGTCGTCCTCCGTGTCCGGGAACTCGTAGATTTTGATTTTGTGCTCCTGGATCTCCTTCATGATCTGCAGGAGGCAGAAAGAGGGATCAGGGATCGGCTCAGAGGCCTTCTTCTTATGCAAATCTGATTCTGGGAGGCACATCTGTAGCACCAGGAGGCCATTAGCTTAGCTTAGCATGAAAGATATGGCTTCAGGCACCTGTTAGACTCACTAATGAACACATCGTTTCTTTTTAATGTCTAGAACGAGCAGTTGTGACATAAACACGACAAATGAATTGGATTTTTCAGAGCCATGCTGCAGTTTTCACCGTCTTCATGCTAAGCTAGGCTAACTGGCTCAGAGAGTGGTATTAAGTTCCCATCTAAAAGCTAATCAACATATTTAAAACAAGTCAAAAATCAGCTTAGAGTCTTAGTTTCCTCTGCGCTTAGGAACCTGGGAAACTGACTGATAGCATCAGGAGGCAATTAGCCTAGCTTAGCATGAAAAAATATGGCTTCCAGCACATGTTAGGCTGACTACTGAACACACAACTCTTGTTTTTAATCTCTGCGATGAGAAATCGTGGCAAAAACACTCAGCAAAGTCACCTCATCCAGCTACTGCAGACTTATTCTTGATGCTAAGCTAGGCTAACTGGTTTAGACAGCGGTACCAAGCTGCTAGCATAACTTTAAATGCATTAAACAGGGTTTCTACCTGCTTCTTGAACAGCTGGCACTCCTCGGGGGTCAGGGTGTCGGCCTTGGCGATGAGAGGGATGACGTTGACTTTGTCGTGGAGTCGCTTCATGAACTCGATGTCCAGCGGCTTCAGACTGCAGAGACACGAGTTGTACCGTTAATGGTGTGTTTTAGTTGATGCAGACGTGTTTGGCTGGGCGGGGATCTGCTTGTAGTCGTTAGTATTAGCATGTTTTTATAGTTTACAAGTGTTCAGGATGATTTTAAACTTGTCCACAGTCAAATAAAATAGTTGGAAATGACTCAAAACTCGTCCAGACAGACTCGAGAATTCCCTAAAATAAGTCACGTTGTCCAAAATCACTTCTGACTTCTGGTTGGAGTTGAGTCAGTCGTGGAGAATCGATTATCTCTGATGCAAAATGTATTTTTATGCTGAATTGAAACCGGACTGCAGCTGCTGGTCGCGTGTTTCGTTCATGGATGGTCCTGAAATTTAGAATCTCATTAAAGTTATTGTGGATTAATCCGATAAATGGTGTAATTCTGGTGACACTGAAACGATACCAGGACCGGCAGGGATCAGATGTTCTGTTGGTGCTGCAGTTAAACTCTCCAGCTCTGTCATGCAGCCACAAAAACATCTGAAGTAAATGGAAACCTCAGTGCAGAGCTGCGTTCAGGAACACGCCTGATGAAGTCCTCGTGTCGTGCTCGTTCTCCTGCAGAGGTTCGGTGGAGGAATCAGTCTGTTTGCTTCCATCAGAGGACCGAGGCTCAAACCGGAGGCCGGTCGGCGTCTCACTGCCATGGAGTCGTGGCTGAACACGACGAGATGGTTTTATGTGGGTCAGCGTGACTCATCACGTGAGCCTGGAATTAATTCACAAGGATGAATCTCCAGAAGATGCTGCTTCTCACTGGAAACGCAGTTCAGCGGGTCACCAGCAGGGGGCCACACGCACCCACAGAAACACTCAGCAGCAGCCCAGTGACGGGTCTCCATCTGTGGAGGAGGGCTAGCATGTGCTGCTGCGCTCGCCTGGATGAACGCTGTGTTTGTGTTCGTGTGCATGTAAACGGCGGCGCTGTGCTCCGAGCTGCTCGTCCAGGAATGCAGAAGCACAAAGAGGCCAGAGAAACAGCTGTTCTCCGGTTCAGCAGTTCACAGAGCGACACGAGGACAGAGTGACGGTGAGGACGAGGCCACGTCTGTGTTCGCTGCAGCTGGAGTGACGGCAGAGAAAGATGGAGTCTGAGAGTCTGAGCAGATCCTGACAGCGATCCATCACAGAGCTGCCCTCGCCTCCACCGCTCTCTGGAGGAACAGCGTCTGAAGCTAAGTCTGGAAACGTGCAGTTTGCTGCTAACTCAGGATTTATGGGATTTCAGACTTTACAGCCGCGTGTCAGTTTGGAGGCAGAAAACGCAGCTTGTTGCAGGAGCTTTGAAACCAACTGGTGAATTCCTGCAGAGTGACACGAGAAGCACAAATACGTCTGATGTTTAAGTGGAGAAGTGACGGTTAGTGAAGCCACATCAGCAACACGTTTATGATCACGTATGGAGCTGCTGCTGCTGCGTGTCCACTGAACTGGTCCGATCCGTTCTGCAGCATCATCCGGCTCTGGTGGAACCTCTGCACCGCTTCACGTTCAGATAAACTCTGGTCTCAAAAACAAACTAGTTCGACCTCCGACATCCAGCCCTGCTAATGGAAACGCTCCCAACAGAAGAACTTTGAGGCTAAAATTTAAATGAAAGAAACATCGTCTCTGAAAACATCCTGGTTTAGCACGTGGCTAACACACGACCTACCATCAGCTCTGCTCGTCAGCTCGTTAACGTCGTTTTAAATGCTCGTGACTCGTCT